AAAAGCATGTAGTCCAAGTCTCAGGGGGATTCAAATACAGTGACAGTCGCATCAGTCCGATTTCTCTCAATGCACGCAGTATCTTCAGATTTGTCTTAACACACTGGATTAGCATTGTCCCCTGAAGAAAGAAATCCTTACTGCAGTATTGGAGGACCATATTTCTGAATGCATTTAATCTACTGAGGTCAGGGGCATGCACATAGACGTATATACATGAATACGAAAAAACAAAAAACAAAAAACAAAGACAGTGATTGTTTTATGCACCGTGCTTGATTTGAATATGTTGTATATGGCTAGAATTCCCACAGGTGTCAATGCATCTGTTGCAAGAGAAAGACTCCTTTTTATGGTAATATCCTCTGGTGCGGCAGCATCTGAAATAGACATTTTACATATTGAAATGGTTTTCCTTTTGTGCACAGGGACATGAATCTCATTTGGCTTTATTTAAAGCAACACTATGTAACATTGTTCTCTCACAGCCCCTGGGGCTTGAGTTGAACAGTCTAATAATCCCACAACAGAGATAATATGCAGTCTGGTTACATGATCTAAGACAGGGGTCTCCAACCTTTCTCCTCCGGTGAGCTCCCTTTGCAAAATAGAAATGCCTGAGAGCTTCTGATTTGACACAAGAAACAAAGAGCAAATATAAGAACTATAGATGTCTGTGATCCTTTTATTAATGCACAAAGACAGAGATCAAAATGAGACATTTACAATGTTAACAGGCATTTAATTGGTCACATTTTAGATATTCAGCACAATACATATATTATTTAGACATTCCATAATGAGCTACCTCGAAGGGGGAGGAGAGCTACAGGTTGGAGACCTTGATAAGACATGCAGTGACAAAGTGAAAAACTATATTTCTGTTATGATGTTCTGTATTTGTTTTCCTATAATAAATCATGTTCTTCTATTAACCATAAAAATAATATAACAACACACACACACCACATTCATACTTAACAAAGTGGAGGAAGTGTCTTGCCAAAGGACACAAAAACAGTATGCACTGGTGCATTAGTGAACAAGCACAGTATTTAAAAGAGATACAAATTAGCTATGATCATTTTACTATAAACGTACAGTAGATCAGTGAGATGTGTCTATTTTACATAGTTCTGACTGAGCTGCCCTGCCTTTAATGAGACCAATTTTAGGTCTGTATCACAACAGTTGTGAAAATTGGCCAGAGGGCCACATTTGGACCCCGGGCCATAGTTTGGAGTCTCCTGGTCTAAACACTGGATGAGGCTTTTTTGCTCCATCGAGTAACAAGATGATAAAGATAAAAATTTGAAAAAGTAAAGCAATATTTTAAAGTTCAAATACCAGCTCAGTGTAGCTTTAAATGGGAACATGGCACAGTATAAATCACAAAGCAAAAGAATACCGGGCCAAAGGAACAGATGAAAGCAATATGTAGTCCAATGTAAAATTCATGGCTCTGTCACCTCTGCATGTTTGAAGACAGCTGCGTGTCTGTAACATAAGCTTCCCCTTGATTAAAAGTTAGCACTGTGCCCTCACTGGGAAATATACTGGTAGACATGTTTGATAAAGTCGTGAAGTAAATTCTTTCCAATAAAAACGTTCTTGGGCGCGATGATTTGCAGAGGAACTCTTTGCTGGCACGTTTCTCCCTCGTACTGACTCTCTTGTTCCCAGCACTGGCTCGCTCCAGGGGTCTGTGTAGCAGGGATGTCTAATGAGACTTGTGTTATTAATCCTTGCAATGGGCGACATGAATCCAGGCCGGACCAAGGGTTTGAGCAGCTATAAAACGTGGAATGCACCCCTTTCATGTGGCTGTGTTGATGATCTATTCTGACAACAAAATGGCTGGGACTTTGCTACCCCTGTCGTGCGGAGCTAAGCCAGAGGCCGCGTAGGGTCATCCAAAATGTACTTGCAGTTTTATAGGTGGTCAAGGAACACGCTGACAGGTCACAAGTGGAAGCTACGTTATGACACGGACCTCATTTGGAATTAGTTTATTTATAGGGGTCCAATAAATCAGCTTTATTTTGTTGTCTAACTTTGTCCAATGGCTTCAGGAGTTTGCAGTTTAAAGTGAAGGTGGACTGGAGGTGCTTAAAAGGGACCAGCATCATGTTTTTACTGTTTGTTTGACCAAGATTTTCTCTCTTTGGGATTGTAAAAGCCTGTGAAACGTGTGGCTGTAAAGTTGAATGAGAAGTTGTGAAAATTGACTTATATGGTCAGATAGTCAGCAGTTAAAACTGACAGGGATGAGTGGGTCCGCTTGAATTCCACTATACAACTGGATAATGGAGGTTAATGGAGAATTAGTATTTGCAAATTAGTTTTTTGTGAAAATTCAAGTGACAATGTGATAAAATAATGTCAGAGCCTGATCACCAAAATGTTAATTCTGTCTTTTTTTACATTTTACACTCTGGTGACAGTTCTGAAGATGAAGCGGCCGAAACATGTCAACAAATAAATAAATACATCTTCTACTGTTTTGTCTTTAAATTTGCACTGTGTAACTTTCTGGTTGTGGGTCTGTCACCTGCTTGTTTCTATAGAGATGTCATTGCTCTGACTGGAATGTTCCACAGTATGACATTAAACTGCTCTCTCTGGCCTTTATGAAATTGCAGATGGTTTTATAGCTCAAACATACATAGAAAAACTGGCATTCTGTTGTGGGGTTTTGTGAGCGGGTTCACCTCTCCACAGATCTGACCTGCAACTTGGTCTGGTTTGGTCTCCATGACGATAGAAAGGTTCAATACCAAGAGAAAGCAATAACATCGCTATGGAGAAAAGCATTTGATGGACAAAGTTACACAATGTGCCTTTAAAAGAACCCAAGAAGTTAATGTCAGAGACTGGTTGGAAAATAATGTGGCATTTTAAAGGTGTATTGCGCAACTTTTCAGGTGGAGGGTCTGCTACCTGCTTGGAGATGTTATTGTTTTGTCTGGAATGTTCAATGGCATGACAATAAACATTTCCATCTAGCATTTATTATTCATTGTAGGTTCTTCTATTATTCAAAAATACATTAATTTCTTCAGTGAATAGGGGCAACACTTCACAGATCTGAACTGTAATGGAGCGTAGTGCTGTAATCTGCTTGTCTCCTTGGTGATAAATAGGTTTAATCTTTAATGTGTAATATTCCAGACAAAGCAATAACATTTGTGGTGGCAGAACCTCCACTAGAAATGTTTCGGAGTGCACCTTTAATAATAATTGATAATAACGTTCTGACAGTTTATTTAGAGAGCTTTGTCACCTTGCGGGAGGGTCATTTCACTTGTTAAAGTTTTTGAAAGTGCTTTTATCTTGAGTCAGGCATTTCATTGGTCTCCTGGGGACCTAAAATCCACTTTTTTGGCAGAAACTGAGGCGGCACCCAACACTTTACAAGGTACAAACAAAAGTTGCTTACATTGGGGTGCAACAGTGTTTGATAATTGTAAAAAGTGAAAAAAGAATTGTGAAAAAAACAACTGGTGAGAACAAACGTTTTGACAGGAAAGACATGTGACCTTTTTGAGTTATATCATCCGGCAAGATCCGAAAAAATATGATTTGCAAACAAGAAAAACTTATTTGTAGAATAGATAGAAATATGGCACATGTATTTTATTCACTCTGAATGTGAGAGCTGCTTTGGAGATGCCCTGACCCAGTTGTCTAGCCATCATCATTTTACAACTCCAATCTGAGAACAAACCATTCATAAAAAGAGAGAACAGGTATAAATGATTAAGTGAATACTATTAAACTATAACTGTTTTTCTTTAGACTATTGACTAATCTTTCAAAAATTCCCACAGGAGACCTTTCTGTTTTGACTGTCTTGGCCCTTTAGGAATGAGAGAAATCAGTGGAAATGAGATGAAGCTGAAGCAGCCCTCTCCAGCTCAACAGTCCGATGTTTGTTTTGCATCTGTGCGAGGGGGACCCAGAGTTTGACTGACAGAGCGTGTGCAGTGAGGGCCGCTCTGCACCTCCATCCACCAATCGGCATCTGAGCTCGTCCCATTTGCGACACAAGCCAATCTGCCTCCAGCCGAGACCGTCCCTCAGCTTTTCACAGATTTGTATCCCCATTTTCCCCAAATTCATCTCACCCCCTGCCCCCCTCCTGCTCCCTTTAACAGACACTGAGCACACAACATGTCGGAGCTGAGTTCATCGTGGCTGTGAATGATGCAAAGTGAAAAACAAGTGGAAAAGGGATGGAAAATAAGAAAGAAGAAATGACTGGCACCTTAAAAAAAACATTTAAACCAGGGGCCGGTTTAATACGCTAGAGGGCGCTGCCCAAAAGTACCTCTGCCAATAGTCAGCTTTAAATAAACTTAAAACATCATTATTTTAGAATTTTCCAAACGTTTCTAACTGTAAAATTTGTTACTAGCAAAAATAGACCTTCCCTATTAAAATATTACTGCTTTTATCCCAGACTTGCTGGACTCTAAAGGGCTGCACGGCACATGTGCGAAATACTGGGATTATGCACAGATCGCCTCACAAAAGTAAAATGTTATGTGCATGTTTTTAGTTTAAAAACACTGCCATTTCTTGAATCACCAACCTACATTTTTAAACCCCATATAATAATTGTTCCGTTGAAAATCAACCCTGTTCAAGTGCGTATTTTACGCATTGATAATTTCTCCAGATAAAATAATAAATAATCGCAAAAATATTGTCAGATATTAAGAAGCAATGTTTTTATTTTACTTCTTACAGTTTTATTTAGGCCTACAGAATGTGGACTTTTTCATTTCTAAATTCCAAACAGACCGATTGATTTTAACGCGGGACGCGCAAAGCCCTCGCAGGTTTTAATCCAGTGTGGTTTATTTAATTCACCCCTTTTTGACACTCGGCGCTTTTATGAGCGGCACAGAGCGACTGGAGCTGGAGGAGGCGAGAGGTGACGGAGGCCAATTATAGGAAACAAGGTGCACATGTGACTTTCCCTGATCCGAGGCTCGTGCCAACATGGAGGAATAGGGCTCCCGTAGTCTACTGTTTTTAGAAGTAGCGCGTGCAGTGCGTTTAGTGAAAATGGAAGTTTTAGATTCTAAGCAGCGGAGGGGAAAACGTGATTTTTAAACCGTGGATATGAATTTATTTCGACATTGGTGCTCGCTTATTTCTGGACAAAATGCGTAGAATTATCAACATAAAGACGGTCAGGTGGTATAAGAAAAACTCTTTTACGCGTAGCTTTTATAAATTTGACAAAACGGCATGCGTATTTTACAATAGTTTTTAATTGAATTGATGTAGTGCAACTATTGGCTGCGGAGAAGGTAGCTGCCCCCGCGTGCATCTCCAAAAGGCTCCTCCCCTCGCGCTACATTAAGCTGCTGTGGTTAGACAAGAACTATAAGAGCCGCCGATCAAAGTGGTCCAACCCAGAACCTAACCTGATCCGAGACTTGAGTAAAGGGGGGAGTGAGAACAACCAACAGAGTGTCGCTGGTTGTGGACGCCCTCTTCTCTTTTTGGGACCCCCTCATATTGAACCATGCAGCTTGAAAACATCCTCCCCAGCGCGAGCATCAACTTGCCTAAAACCTTTTACAACCTGTCGTCTTCGGACAGCGCTAACACCAGTCCCAGGCCGTCGTCTCAGCTCGAGTACCAAGACGTGGACCGCAGCGAGTCCGAGTCCAGCGGAGGTGCAGCTAAGAAGTACCTGGGAAACGGGATGTTGGGGGGCGAGACGACAGAGGGGGAGACCGTGAGGAAAGGCTCCCCTGTTTTGGGAGAGGATGACTTGGCCAGCACCAGGCGCTACAACATCGATGATTTGGGCACTGATAGATATTTCCTCTCGTCGTCTGCTCAGGCCGGTTCTGACATGGCGAATCCGTGCTCTCTGTTCCCATACACTGGCCAGACGGGTTACTCTGGCTCCAGCGCGTCCAGGTACCCCGCTTCTCTCCACTACGGCTCCGTGTTGCCTCCAGCCGGCTTCTCCTCTTCCTCGGTTTGCAGCAGCAGAGGCCAGTTCAGCGGAGGCGGGTATCAGTTTAGTCAGGGTCCGGGCTGTTTGTACCCGTCCTACCCGTCCACAGGCACCGGGATAGGCTCCATGTCGCTCACCGGAGGCAGCGCCGGAGCCAGAGCTCAGGTGTATCTGTGCAACCGGCCGCTGTGGCTCAAGTTCCACCGACACCAGACAGAGATGATCATCACCAAACAGGGCAGGTAAGAAGACGAGTCCGCGAAGGCCTCTATTACGCACGGCAATTACGCACGACTGCAGGCCAATCTTCCTCTCAATTATGATTTTAAATGGCCTAAAACTACGCTAAATCCAATTGTTACGGTCATATTCGTTTGATAAAATTGAGTTAATATTAGCAACTTTGTGTAATTATGCATCAAGCGCGCAGAAATCTTGGAAGTGTTGCTGAAATGCGCAAACGTTGTCAGTCTTTTTTGTCTGTCTGGACTTGTTTCTGTAGACACAAATGTTTTGCCACATTTTTATGTATATGTTTTTCTTGTTTTAGGCGCATGTTTCCGTTTCTCAGTTTCAACATTACGGGCCTGAACCTTACCGCCCACTACAATGTGTTTGTGGAGATCGTTTTGGCGGACCCAAATCACTGGCGCTTTCAGGGAGGCAAGTGGGTCACCTGCGGGAAAGCGGATAATAATATGCAAGGTGAGTGTCAATATTATTTTTATTTTTATCTTTGAAAATTAAATTACACTTTAGTTAGTTTTTTTTTAATATTCCGGTGTAATTTTAAGCTTACATTTGCTTCGTTTTGCCTTCAGTTGTGACCATGCCGGACTTTCTTGCAATGTAGCCAGACGTTTATTGTATCACTTTAATAATTAAATTCGTTTTTGTCTGAAGTTCCTCGTCATTTATTTTGACTCACCTTTTGAATTGACAATTTCGCATTTGAAAGGTGCTAAAATAAACTGTCGAAGCGTTAAGTCACCTCGAGAAAAACTTGCGTGGGAAAAAGAAACCGGTTTTATTTGCGATTCATTTGTCATTGTTGGTTGCAATTTATTTTAATACTTTATTTATTTATTAATAAAAAAGATGAGATATTTTAAACACAAGTCAACACACCAAATATTTGAATTCATTTTCAATTATGGCACAAAACATTTTTAAGATTTGTTCTGAAAAATAAAACATTTTAATAATTAAGACTTTCTGAATAGGCTTTTATAATTGCAAATATTTTGTTTTTTCAGACTTTGGATATTATTACAGAATATTTTGAAATTAATATTGTTAAATTGCTCAAATATTTATATTTTTTAATTTTTCAGGGAACAAAATGTATGTTCATCCTGAATCCCCGAACACTGGTGCTCACTGGATGAGACAAGAGATCTCATTTGGGAAACTGAAGCTGACCAACAATAAAGGCGCCAATAACAACAACACACAGGTAACAAAGATCGGTTTAACAAATGGACAATCTGAACCTATTTTCTTCTTTCGAACAAATAAAAACCACTGATTATATTTTTTGCTAAACTCATTTCTTTATAATTTGCAAAGGCAAACACAATAAAACAATTTAGTCAGTGTTTTACCCGGATGTTTCTATAAATTTACACTTTTCTTTATATTTCCAGATGATAGTTCTGCAGTCTCTTCACAAGTACCAGCCACGACTTCACATCGTGGAGGTGACGGAGGACGGCGTGGAAGACATGAGCAACGAGTCTCGCACACAGACCTTCACCTTCCCAGAAAACCAGTTCATTGCCGTCACCGCCTACCAGAACACGGATGTAAGAATTTTATTTGTTTTAATCTCTCAATTTGCTGCAATTTTTAATTAGCTAGGAATTATTAGTTTGGAATTTACAGAGATTGCAATTTTTTCAAATTTTTTTTTTTTTTACGTTTGAATTGTTAGAATGATCCTTATTCTTTTGTTTGACATAAATGGCCACTAATCTAATATGATATTGTTTTTGTGTCTTGCAGATCACACAGCTCAAAATAGACCACAACCCGTTTGCAAAAGGCTTCCGGGACAACTATGACTCGTGAGTGTGATCGCACGTCTAGCTTTGTGCTTCTTGTGTTTTCCTCCTCTCTTTGCATAAGTGTCTAACTGCATTTTGTTTTGTTTTATTTTGGACAGGATGTACACTGCCCCAGAGAGTGACCGGCTGACCCCCTCTCCTACAGACTCTCCTCGCTCCACTCAGATCGTGCCCGGTGCCCGCTACGCCATGCAGCCCTTCTTCCAGGACCAGTTCGTCAACAACCTCCCCCAAAACCGCTTTTACACCAGCGAGCGAGCCGTGCCCCAGACCAACAGCCTCCTCTCTCCGCAGACTGAAGACTCCTCCGCCGCAGCCTCCGCCCAGCGCTGGTTTGTGTCGCCGCAGCAACCTGGCGCAAACAAGCTAGACCTCTCCTATGAAAATGACTATTCCACTAGCTCCTTGCTGTCCTACGGCATCAAACCTCTGTCCCTGCAGACGTCGCACGCGCTTGGCTACTACCCAGACTCCGCCTTTGCATCAATGGCGGCGGGATGGGGCACAAGAAGCTCTTATCAACGTAAAGTGACCACCGGACTGCCCTGGTCACCCCGCCCTAGTCCGCCAGCGTTTCCGGATGAACAGCTAGCGGGAGCTCAGACAAAAGACAAGCTGCCAGAGGAAACCAGCGCTCCCCCGGCCTCCACCTGGATCGAAACTTCCCATACTCTCAAATCCGTGGACTCTAGTGATTACTCTATGGCCTGCAAGAGGCGTCGAATGTCCCCCGGAAGCTCCAGCACTGAAAACTCCCCCACCATCAAATGTGAAGACTTGACCACAGACGAATACAACAAGGACAACCCAAAAGGCATGGGCTATTATGCATTCTACACAAGCCCCTAAGACTATTTATTTAAGAAAACAAACAAATATACATTTTTTGGTTTTAATATAATTGATGATGATATTGAGTGCTCTCCATTCCTTGTTAATGTCTTTTTTTCTCTTTTCTCTAAAGGTGCCAAAGCTTAGTGTTCCCCTTCCCAGGCAAGCTGCACAAGGTTAAAACCCCTGCAGGCCACGCCCCCTCTCACATGAGCAGAAATAGTGATTGTTGGTTCTTTTTTTTTTTTTTTTTTTTTTTTTTTTTTAATGAAATTTCTAAAAAAGCATGATGCCCCAGTTTTAAAAGGAAAAAAAGACTTGATCACACAGCTTTTAATTTTGACAAATGTGAATATATTTCTCCCTCCTACGTATTTAAGTCCTTTCTGTTGTACAGTATTCGTGCACTTTAGAATGTGATGTATCTTGTACAAAGTGTCTTCTCATGGAGGTGTTATTAAATGGGTAATAAAACAGCTTTCGTAACTTCTTGTCCTGTCTTATTCTATGTTTGATCTGCCTATAAAAGCTTGTCTATACTGCAAAATATCTAGTTATATCTAATTTATTTTACAACAGTGCAGATTCACTCCTTGTGCATGCAGTTGCTATAAATTCTATTTTGGAACATTACGGTAAACACAGTAATTATATTTTGTTTTTTGTTTTCCCATTTATACAAAAAGGTTAGAATGTTTATTTAAAACATAAAACATAAGGCCTTGAGTCCTTTTCACCACTGTACCAAACCATCACTCTAGCCATATATTATGCAAGTTATCAGTACTACTACATTATTATACTCTCATGAGAAAACACAATACTTGTCAATTGCAAAAGTGCCATATTCAGAATGTATTAACTTTTATTTATTAGTTTTATTAGTATTATTACCTAAATGTCAGTAATTGTTGGATGGTCTATATGTTTCTCCCCAAGCACCCGCTGTCTGAGAACCACTCAAAATGATATGATTCCAATTTACACTGATGTTGAAAAGGCTCTTCAGAGTTTAATGAGTCTGGTCACTCTCCACAGCTGCTTAAAACCCATTTTTCACATCTTGTAATGGTGGTAAATTCTGCCACTGAATTAGAATTGCAAAACAGTTCCTCAGCAAAAAATAGAGCAAGGTGAGAAAGGCGGGATACGTGTTTGCACCAAGAATCTATCCTCTTATCTGTGCACGGAGAATTTAATGGGTAAATGAGTGGAGACCAGTGAAAAATTAGACTTATATTATCTGTGCTAATGTAAAGAGTACAACATTGTGTAAAGGTTTATCATGCATGTATGTATGCAAAAGATTTTGAAAAAGTCTGAGGGGCAAGGGAACCTCTTTCTCAAGTTGACAAAACTCTGAAAACATAACATAGCTTTAAATGAAGCCTCATCTCACAGGCTTTATAAAACCCCTTTTTACTATGTTTGATTTTTTTTATGTATTTATTTTTTTTTATTACAGACAAGAAGTGGAGATATCCCAAAGTTCAGATACAATATTTTCTGTAATTCCAAAAATATTTTGCACTACTGATGAATAGTTTTTGAAGTAGCATCTCTAAAAAGTCAGTAGTAAGTAGCATTTCCCCTAACTTCAAGATCTTATGCAGTTGAATGTTTGTGCACTCATAAAGAAACATTTTAATAATAATAATAATAATGATAATAATAATATAATAATAATAATAATAATAATAATAACATTTATTTATATAGCGCTAAAAAAAGATTAAAGATGCTGTACAAAGAATACAATCAAAACGAGTACATAAAGTAATCAGACAAAATATAAGTATGATCATAAAAAGCAGGTTAGACATTTTGTACATTGACACTGATTCAACCAATAATTTGAAGAACAGTTTTGGTGCGTGAGTCTGATATGAAATAGAAGTGTATTGACCCTTTGCTACTAAAAGATGTTGAACATAAGGTTCTGTTGCCCATCACCTATAGCCTTTATTCTCATGCATGAATACTTAACTAGAACTGCCAGAACTGAGCAATCTACTTAAGCTAAAAGTGTCACTTGAAGGTAATACTGTTTTAAATGTATGTGTTACTCCCCTGACCCCTCTAAACAAATCCAATTAAAGAACACATCCCAGCATGTACCCCTTCTGTTTGTTACCATGGCATTTTCACACGTTTTATAATTTACCTTTAATAAGTGGCATGGTGCTTGGCTTGTCAAAATGAGATCTAGGAACCAAACTAAATTTACTGAAAGTTTCTAGCGTCCAACTAGAGGGTGACATGCTAACAGCTCTATTTATACGGTCCAAAAGTGGCTTAGCAGAAACCAAAAAACTGCTTGAAAGGAGAAGTCATAATATTCACACTGACTTGGCTCGTGTTCGCGGCACCTGTTTCGCTTTCGGCTTGAAAATACTTTTGAAATCCTCCCCCATAAGGACCCCCGATTTGAATTGATTTACATACTTGAATCTAATTAATTCTGTTGTCAGACTGCTTGACAAAGTGAGGAGTCTGACTAACTCCAATTAACACCTCCTAACAAGGTAGAGCGCTTGATTGCCCCAGGCCTCTCAAGGAAAAGCTGTAAGAAATAGACTCGAGGGGGGAAGAGAGAAAGGAGGAGGGTGGGGGTTCAAAGCCTGAAAAATCTGAATGTTTGCACTTGTGTGAGTGTGTGTGTCAGCAGTTTGTATTTCCTCGCGTGTTTACATGTTGGAACCATGTCTTCTGACCTCGGCTCATTAGGATTAAAGAGAGGGAGCTTAGGTTAATATGGCAACCGCTAGAACTATTTAGCCCTGATGAATATACAGAGCAGCCATGGAGTTCAAAATTATGAAAAAGTAGGGTTGCTGCTGATGAACTCTTTTGAAAGGGAAAAAATACCGTGTAGATCAGGGGTCACCAAACTTTTTTCTCTGGGGGCCACATTATCACTCCTCATTGTGATGGGGGGCCGGGGTTGGGTTGGCCGTTGTAACAAAATTGTATGACCCTTACGACGCAGATGATATTTTTTGAAAACAGCCACACTTTCTTTACCTTATCAGACAAACCGCACGGTTCTTACACTGAACAAAAAAATAATCGGTCGTCTATTGTTCTTTGAAAACTCGGCACTCTCTGTCAACTTTTCGTACTTTAACACTCGCCATTTTCTGAGCGTGCGTTGACTGTCACTGTTTGATCTTGAGCTTTTCAACTTACAAAAATTGGGTGGCAATTGTGAATAAGTCATATAATAATTTAAATATAAATATAAGTACTTCATATAAATCAAATTTTTAATTGAAAAAATCAAGAAAATACAAAATGCAGATGTGTTATTAGGAGCTGGGGGGCTGGTCAAAGGGGTGTGGAGGGTCGGAGTCAGCCCGTGGGCCTTAGTTTGTTGACCCCTGCTGTAGATGTTATGTAGATGTGCTTTGAATGGAATGTTCCATACTATGACATTAAACTTATCCATTTTCATGAAGACAAGCTAGTGACACCTAGCCAGGCTGGCGCCACCTAGTGCCTCCGCTCAATTTAACTTCTCTTCGGCGACTAGTTCAGGGATCAAAATACACTAGACATTTCGCAAGAACCCTGTAAGTGCGAGTTCAGGCACCAGCCAATCAGAGAAGAGCCATATAGTCAGTGTTGTCAACGATTCCTGGAACAAAGCCAATTTTTTTGGTGAATTTTATCAAGGGGAAAGACATTATTACCCTTCTTTCTACAGGATTTGGGAAAAGCTTAATATTACAGCTAGCCCGTTAGCAGTGCATTATATACGTCATGACCAAAGCAGACCAGCAGTGATTGGTTAAATTAAAAAAGTACCCGCCTACCATCAAGCGAACGAATTCTAACACTGCGAGGTCAGACGGTTTCTACGAAGTGAAACCATCTGAATCAGGCTAGGTGACACCACCAGGCCAACTTATAGGTCTGATCTGAGGAGAAGTGATGCCTTTCACAGTAAGAATGCATGATTTTGAAGGCAATAAAAACTGCTGAAAAAAATGCAAGATAGAATAGTTTGATGCCACTGTGAAACATGTCTGGAAAAGCATGTATTCCCTTGGAGGCAAGCAAGTGTCGCACCTTTCTACAGAAACATTAAAAGTGCATCATTAGAAAAGGATAAAAATGATGTTGTGAGGGTGTTTGGATGATAAAATAAAATGTAATATTTAAATTTGATCTTATTCTGGTGCCACTTAGACTTTGCCAACAACGGTATGTCTAAACGTATGAATGTTTTTGTGTTTATTGGCTGTACAACTCAAACATCATGAAGCTGATTTATTCTGATTTTGATGGTCGTAGCACATCTCAGGTGAGGCGAATCAGCATCTTGGCAATGCTGATGAAACCTATTAGTCATTCAAATGTTCTGCTTTCAGTTCTGTAATACGATGCACTGTAGCAACCCCGACATGAATGGAAGAGATACGTCAATAAAATGTCTAGCCATGTTTGTGCCAACTGGATTCAAGATAACACAGATTTTGGCAACTCCAGGCTTCAGAACCAGGTCAATAAAGTTGATCTTTACAGAGCATTCATGCAGGAAGGCCACGAATCAATAGACACCTGCACAGCATGCTTGCACACATTCAAATCATGTTATCGAAAAAGTAGATATGCTCATAGGGAAACAACACAAAGGATCATCTCTCTCTCTTGTGCATATAGTGAAAAGATAGGAATAGTTAAATAGTTAAAGTATGTTGAGCAATTAAATACTTATATCTCATAATTAGAGGGAGATTAATTGAAAAATTTATTGGGAATATGCAAAATTAGAATAGTAATTATATTGTGTATGATAAAAAAAACTGTTCAGAAAAGCTGAAAAGCTAACTAACTAACTCACAAACAAACAAACTAACTAACTAACTAACTAACAAAAGATTATTAAAAAACAGGTGGTTTTAATGTAATATTTCAAACAAGGTTAAAAAATTTGATATTTCTGCTCTTTTATGGTTAGTTTTATTGTCTTTTTTATGAGATTTCAACCTCAACCATGACATTTATAGACACATTTTATCACATTAAGAAGAGATTTTCATTTCCTAATATCATAACTTGGATGATCAAGATAAAATATGTTAAACTATACAGTGTTTTGACACCTATCAGAAAATAGACTCAAGTTCTTCTTTGTTTTGGTGCATGCCTTTACCCTTCCCCTGGGCCGGGCATGTTAAGTTGCATGTAAGAAATCCCAAATACAGACATTATACCGAAGGA